CAATGTACATTGGAAGGTCACATCGAAGTAACGCTAATGCTGCAGTACAATCGTGAGAAACTAAACTAAGTGGGGAGTTGTGAGCTTACAACTGAGGTCCATACTGCACAATGAGAGGCAGTACACAATAGGCCCTGGCGGAGAATGCTCGAAAAGGTGGCAGATTCTGCTCGAAAAGCAGTGAAATTGGCAGAACCATACAAACCTTATGGCGTGCAATTCCTCGAATTCTGCTCCATTTCTTTATCCACATACCAAACATGCATGAAACCTACCAGAAAAAGTACCGAATTCTGCCAATTTTTCTGCCGGCATTATCCGCCAAGGCCTAGTACACAATGTGTCAATAGTCTTGAATGAGCCCACGTGTCATACTGTTTCAAGTTCACCCCCAGCCATACAAGTAAGGTTGGAGATTTGGGGGGTGTCAGCCGTTGACCAGCGGTTGCAATCTTTCAAAAAATTCTTATGAGTCTCTCTCCCCTCTCCCAAGGGGAGACCTATCCACACCGTGACTCATGGGCTGGGTGGTCAAGACAGGTGCTTGGGAGTCCTATGATTGCAGGTTCAATTCCTGCTCAATTGCTCATTGAACTACAGTATTAAACTATTGCATAACAAGTAACTACAATGTAGACCTCTCTGTCGTCAAGCCTAAAGAAACAGCGGCTCGCTGACAACCTTCGGAAATACAAAAGTAAAATTTGCAGTTTGCAAGAGACTAAAATAAAGGACGGCTGCGACGAACTAGCTGGTGACTACAGGATGTTCTGCTTACCAACGGCGAACAGGCATTGTGGGCTTGGGTTCGCTATTCACAACAGCCTGTTTGAGCGTATTCATCGGATATGGTCAGTATCAGACCGAGTGGCCGCGAAGCAAATCAATTTCAGTGTCCAAGAGAAGTACTTTATCTCTCGTCAATGTGTATGTGCCGGCAGATGATGTGCGCGTGCGACAACGAGCCGACGGTCTGATTTCACCAGTGTCCCAGCATAGGATCGGGCGTCTGTGAAAATCTGCTTCTGGTTGCTGCTACACAAGATGAAATCTATTAAATTTTGATTGTGTATGAATAGAGAAACCGCCGTTTGGGTTGTGCCTCCAACCTGTCCAGGTTGTCAGATGCCTAGCTGGATGTTGAAAGGCAGTGTTACATGCAAAGAGACAAAACGACTCGCAGAAATCCGCTAGCATGCATAGCTCCGCTGTAGTTACGACGTCCACGACCATACCGTCTGGTGCACGAGCCGCCCGAGTCATCCCTCTGGCCGAGTTTGGCATTGAAGTCGCCAGCCACGAGAACGAGCGAACTGGACCTTACTGAACCCAGGCAATCTCCGAGCGCTGCGTAGAACTCGTCGAGATGGGCACATAACAACAACAAAAAAAGAACCGCGAAAGCTCAGAAGTTTCAGGTTCATAGATTCAGCGAGCACACCTGCCGGCAAAACTTCCAGTCCCAACTCACCCATCGGATCGCCAACGGCGCAGTAGACACATCCACACCGGAAGCACACTGGACATCGATCTCATCTTTCATCCAGCAAACGGCAAAGGGTACCATTGGACTGGCGCAGCCCCCAAAGAAGCAACAGCGTTTCATGGATGATCAGCTACATTCCTGGTCGGAAGAGAAAAAACGGTTGCGACTGCTGATAACTGCAAGTAACCGTTAGGGATCCACAACAAGTGGCTGATCTGAAGCATCGGCGGAACACCCACTCACACCGAATCCGGCTGCGACCAAAGGAACTAGCATCGAATGAGCTGGACGCTCGGGCGAGGGAAGAAGAAGCAAATAAGGATACAGCACAGATGTTTCATGCAGTCCATCTACTCCAGCGACAAAAACAACAGCCTATCACTGTGCATAAGACAAGTAGACAAGTAATACAGCCAGTCTCAGTAGCCATCCAAATCACCGACCACTTTTCTAAGCTGTACACGCCAGAGCCTGGTGCACTGTTGCTGCGGCGGCCGGGCCTTGCCGACCAGGATTGCGCTATTCAGTACCGCCGGTTTGAGCGGCCCATTTCTGAGGCAGAGGTGACACAGGCAGCTGGAAAGTTGAATAATAGCAGGTCAAGTGGCCCAGGTAACATGCCAGGGTAGCTGCTAAAGTACTCACCTGCCCTCGTCTACTCCTATATCACCCAGGTCCTCAACTCTGCCGTCGAGACAGGCCTACCCCTGAACAGCATCGGTAGTGGGTCGCTTATTCCGTTACCACCTGGCAAATCAAGGGGATCAGTCGCTCACCTACGGCCTGTGGTTTTACTCATAGCGCTCAGGAAGATTCTATCATTGATTGTGCTGCGGAGGATCAACAAGGACGTCAACAACTTCGTTGCACACACACAGAGTGGTTTCCGCCCCAGCAGAAGCACCACGGACGTTGTGTGGTCATACCGATGGTTGGCGGCTTGATGCCAACGCTATCGCAGTGCGCTGGATATCCCAGGCATTGATATGTCAAAAGCGCTTGACTGTATAAGCAGGCCACGGCTCATCTCGGTGCTGGGATCGTTCTTGCAGCCGCGGATGAATTCCGAATGATGATCAGTTACTTCCTCCAGGACACCGTACTGCGGGTTGTACTCCCATCCGCTAAGGGCCCGTCATTCCCCACTCTCCGCGGCACACCCCAAGGTGACTCGTTGTCTCCTGTTCTTTTCATTGAGTACCTTGAGGGTGCGCTGCATGATGTTCGGCCTCTTCTTCTACCACGTCCCCCTGCCGATATCTCCCTGGGATTACCAACTGAAACTGCCTACGCCGACGATGTGCATTTCGTGACTACTGATGGTGAGAGACTGAGGACCCTCCTTCCAACCATATCCAACACTGAAGCTCCTCGAATGGGATTTGAAAGTGAATGAGACAAAGACAGAGCACACGCACATCGAACGGCACACTGATCGCATCGAGGAGGAGTGGCGAACCACCAAGAAACTCGGGTCCCTATTTACAGGTGATGCCGAGGATATGCTACAACGACAACAACTGGCAACTGTTGCCTTTGGTAAACTCTGGACGCTGTGGATCCGTAGGTCGCTAGTTTCGGAGGATCTCCACATCCGGCTTTATAATGCCTTTGTGCTCCCTGTACTCTGCCACAATTGTGCAACATGGGCACCAACGAAACAGCAACAGAGCCGTATTGAGGCATTCCACCGAAAACAGCTGCGGGCGCTAATCGGCATTGTGTTCCCGAATCGGGTCAGGAGCGAGAGGCTCTATGAGCGTACCGGCGCGGTTCCTCTCGGTATTATCATCTTGAGAGCTAGGTGGAGGCTCTTTGGGCACGTCCTCCGGCTCCCGGCTGACTCCCCACCATCACTGGCCATGGGAGCGTACTTCGCAGAGCCTCGTCCAGCGGGCTGGAGGGGACGACCAAGACACACACTACCAACGCTACTACAAGATGATGCCAAGCGGATTGGACTCTCCTTGTCAAGCAAAGTCGATCTGGAGGCGTTCCGTGCCCTTGCTGCTGACCGGATCGGTTGGGTGGGCATCTGTGCCCGAGTGGTGTCGGCACCCTAGTTTTTTGTCTTCTTTTACATTTCTTCTTTTTTCTGAAACTGTTGTGGTCTTTTGTATCTATTCGAAGTGGCTTATGCGAACACTTTTGGCTGGTTTGCATGATTTGCGTGCCCATTAATGCAGCTGGAGGCCATGCTGATGTCTACGCGAACAAGCACATAATAATAAATAGACCTCTCTACATACATGTACGTTGTACTTCTTTCTTCTTTATCAGCACCGTAGTACTACAGTCCATTCACTGGAAACTGGCACCCTAACTTTTTGGTGTCTATGTCACATAGTTGTAGATATCGTGAAAACAACAGTACATCCTGCATTGTGTGACCCGTGCCTCCTTGCCACATTTGAGGCCAGAAAAGTCCAAGAACAGGGAAATATAAATTCAGCCAGGTTTTACAAAATTAGGACAGGTATGCCATGGCAAAATGTATGGAGAAGCAGATCCAAAACCCTGATTTTTGAGATTTAAAGTGGGTTTTTGATCCTCAATTCGGCCCAAATCCGACTTTCAAAAGCCAGCGGGCCAGTTTCCGATGAATGGACTGTAGTGGCGTCACCATGTACCAGTAGTCTGAACAAGGGAGCCTAGCATCCCGGGCCATCTGCCGGGCATATCTCGTGCAGCCCGGTACCGTATACCGTACCATCTCGGTCGAAAAACTCGGTCAAGCAAGTCCAGGCCTCACTATGTACTACACATACCATCAAGAGTACATAATCAAGAGTACATAATGTACTCTTGATACCGGGGCTGGGAGTCGTAAAATACCGGTATTTACGACTCCCTGGTTGATACCATCAAGAGTAGATAAACTTGTTACTTGATACCATGCATAGGAGCCGTACTCCGTGACCATGGTGACGATGGCATGGCTTCGCTGCAAGCTAAGCTTTGCATTAGTCCGAGCTAGCGTGATGTGCCTTCGCGGGGCAAGATCATCATCCGCACACCGTGTCACCAGGGCCTAGGGACCCCGCGTCTCAGGCCTAGTGGTAGCCGAGGCACGTGTTTCCTTGCAGGACTGTTGAACTAAAGTCAGACATGTACTACTACTAGTACATTTTTGTCTAGAGGTCTAGTCATGTACTTGTCATGATTCTTTTCTATTTTATTCTTTTTACCAGGCGTGGGCCGGCCATCCCCTGGATTATCAAAATGGGTGCCTTATTATTTTCTTTTTTCTTTCTTTTTCTGTTTATTCTTTTTACCAGGCGTGGGCCATCCCCTGGTCTATCAAAATGGGTGCCTTATTATTTTTCTGAGTGCAATAAAAAAAAAAAAAAAAAAAAAAAAAAATGCATACTGCGTACCGGTATGTGGGGATCGGGAAGGGTATGTGTAGCCTGTACTCAGAGAGAGTCAGAGCCTTTACGGCTCCGTGTAGCTACGTAGGGCTCCCTGCACTGCCTGCCTGCGCCTGGCCTGGCCTGGTAGGTCTAGAAAAAAATGGAGCAGATCGACCTGCGCTAGAGCTACATATGTAGAGCTGTTGTCAATGCCGATTTGAAAACATAAAACAGGAGTAGCGTTGTGTGTTCAACTACGGTAATTACTTTCAAAATACATTATTATCAATTTTGGTTTGGGCATTCATCAGTTTGAGGAGTTGTGCATGTGGAAAATTCTTTTCGCCCTCGGAGTTTCGCAGGCCATACTTTGAGAGACGGAATTCGGTATGCTGTTCTCTCTCTAGAACAGCCATGGCCCAAAGTGGACGTGCCATCGCCCAACCTCGCCAAAAACACAACATTTCCTACGTTATTCGTGACGAAGTAGAACCTGATCACCGAGGTGGCGTGAATTGCCTCCGCTACGACCATCACAAGAAGCGGCTATACACAGGTGGAAGGGATGCCATCATTCGCGGGTGGGACCTGTCTTCCGTTCAGGTACTGCTCGCTTGTTTATTTTTGACGTTCCCCTATGGAAATTCAGTGAATTTTATATTCTCGGGAGCATTTGAAAACAACCCAAGTTGCGTCATGTAGACAATGACCTTATTGCCAGATTTAATATTTTCTCAATTAAATTTCTAAGATCAAAATTGGCTGCTTTGCGCTTGGATTCTAACTCTCATTCATTTTAACGTTTTGCGTATGTTCGTGCCTGTCGCACCCGACAACCGCAAGCCAAACGCTGTAAGAAAGTTGCACCACATCACTCAAAGGTCGCCTTCCTTCAACAGCATTATGGCCTGCCTGCCTTGTTCATCGCGCCTATCCATACAGCATCCACGGCCGCCGATGTTCTTATTGAAAGCAGCGGCTCACTGCAGCTATACCCTGCAGCTATACCGTAAAACCTGGTGTAAACGTCCACCCCAAGGTGCAAGCAAAAGCAGTCGTTAAAGCCAGGTGGTCTTTAGAAACAAGGTTCCATACATTCGCGGCATATCGGATTGTGCACATACTTCCATGACTGTACTCATATTGACAGGTGTGGAGCATAGAACACTTTTGTGCTGGCAAAGCACACATTGAGTTTCAGACTTCACTCAGGTGTATGCAGTACACCCTGCTCCGTCACTTGTCACTTCTGTTGACTGCATGCCGTAGCTTCTGACCCACTCTAGCCCTGTTGCAGTCAGGCCTGCCAGCCAGGATTGCACCTTTGGCTAGTTTTGGTCGCTGTATGTAGGGCAGATATGGCTCTTGGTACACTAAAATCCGGTCGCGCAACGCAGGTGGTCGCTGTTCCCGGTGCAGTTTCTATGCAGAACTGCCAGTGCATGGAAAAAACAGTTGTTGAGAACAGGTGGTCGCTAATACCATAGGTAGCTGAGTCCAGGTTTTACTGTATTATAACGCACTGTAAAGAAAGCGCCCAAAGTGCAGCTTTCGGAGGCAAAATTTCGTTTCCGAAACCTTGGTTATTCGTCCGAATCTCATCGGGTGGAAGTGCAGCTCACTTTGTTGCATGGTTTCGTTAGACTGCTCGCTCCGACTGGCGTCCTGCTGGTCTAGAGACAGTATGTAAAATGACCTGCTCTGATCTGTGTGCTTGTTGAATGCTTGAGCAGAAAAAGAATGCGGTGCAAATGGAACACCACACGGACTGGGTCAACGATCTCGTCGTTATCGACAACGGAAATTTAGGTACACTTTCTGTTCAGCTGGGGCCGGCACGCACGATTCTTGTTTGCATCTTTGCCACTCATTTCGTTCTTTCGTTCGTGTAAGCCTCGGCATGTTGTATGCTGTGCTGTATATGTGTGTAATCAAGAGTAGATAAACAAGAGTGTGCAACTCCGGATCTCTCCTGCACAATCTGCAGATACCCCCGCCCACGGCGGAATTTTTTGTTGACGTCACCTTTTTCAGAAGAACGCGCATTTCGCCGCAGAGCAGTGTGAGAGCACGTGCTGGGCACCGACCTTGTAGTGTAAAGCCGGCCAAGAGCACGAGGGAACACTTTCCGAAAGACTCGCAGCTCGTGCGTCGTCGAAAAGATTACGTCAACAAAAAATTCCGCCGTGGGCCTACCCATCCGCGAGTTGCACACTCTTGTTTATCTACTCTTGGTGTAATGGATATCCGTCCTGTTGTGTGTAGCATAGCGTGAAGCATTGGTTGTGGGCGTTGGCTGACTGGTGTGGCTGTTGAAGCTATTCTTGTCTCTCCCGCTGCAGGACTCTACAATCATGTTGCAATGGGGTTTATGCATAAAACATGGCCGCCACCTTCCCGAGGGGCAACTTGCCCCATATTTGGCAGGTACAGCCAGTTGTGGTACATGTGTGGGTATGATCGTACACAGTCTATGACCTTTGATGCAGGATTGATTGGTATCGCAGTGTGCACCGTTTTAGTGGACCTGCCCCTCAAGATCAAATGGCAGGAGTATTATGCGTAAACCCCATTCATGTGCACTCGTATCTCTCGTATCCGGCCGATCGGATACTGCCCAAAAGTTTGAATTGTCTGTAACTCAGAATCACATACGTTTCAATGCGGAAGGGCCAGAGATCTGGCATATAACGTCACTATTTCCACTCAAACTCGCCCACAAGATGCCCGGTAGACCGAGGTGCCTGTAACTTCGAGGTCCGGATGAGAGTGATATGAGTGCACTAACAAAGGCGGTGTATAGGAGTGCAGGGTGTTTGCCTTCGCTGATTGCCACAGCATGCTGGACTGCATTTTTTTTGTTCTGTTCCGTACAGTAATGTCAGGCTCTTCGGACACCGCACTGAAGATCTTCAGCACCCAGTGTGGAACATGCCGGGTGTCTCTTAAGCCCCATCTTGACTACGTGCGTGCGCTGGCGTACGCCGAAGAGGCCAACATAGCCATATCAGTTGGCCTCGATTCGCCCGTCTACTTCTGGGACATTGGCACACTGACGAACATCTCAAAGATCGCTAAATTTGATTGTAAGCGGCTTTTGACAATTTTACTTTTGTTCAGGGTATGTTGTGTGACGTAACCCATGGTGATAAGACAATTACCAACTGAAGTCTCTCTATAACTCTTGTGCCGGCTTTGCTTCTTCTCTTTTTATTGCACACAATACAATATTATTGTCCCCTGCACCTTGATCCTTGAGAGTGGTAGCGTTCCTGCTTGTGCGGAAAACTCAGCATGACCGAGTTTCACTCGAGCCGTGAATTTATTCTTATTTATTGTGTCCCGAAAAACCCTACACACGCCATTCTCAAAGCAAGTGGTCTCTTCGCTGCACATTACTTATTTCTCAATCAAATTTTCGTCCAGGAGCCATCATCAGGAATGTGTAGTGAAGTCGGAAGTGGCTGCAGTGAGTTAAGAAAATATATATTGTGTCTCCCCGAAATTTAAAAGAGACAGGCTTGGCTTGAGGATTTGCATGGGCTCGCTTTAAATATTTTTTTAATCTACGTTGCATTGCAACTTTTGTAGCGTGCTATTTCAAAGACGAATGTGTTTTGTGCATGTGTTCTTCAGACAGTAAGCTGGTCGGTCACAAGAAATCTGTGTACAGTGTGGCGTGCAATCCTGATCGCTCGGTTGTCGTCAGCGGCGGCACTGAGAATGTAAGTGACCGAACATGCCAGCAGCATGCGTTCATGGCTTCATGCCTGCTTACACAGCTGTGCACTTGTGTATGCCTTGTCCGTATCGGGTGTAGATGGTCTGAAGGGTTTGCACGCCAGAGGCTTTAATACCTGGCGAATACATGCATGCATGGGGGGCCTGGCATCTATCTTCTCCTTTTGTTCTCTCTTTTCCTCTCTCTCTCCTTTCTCTCTCTCTCTCTCACTCCGTGTGTACCTCTTGGTGTGGGTGTGTTTTTGTCTGTCTGTCTGCGGGGGGGGGGGGGGGGGGGGGGGGAGAGGGATATGCATGCATGCATGTGTGTGGAGTCTTGAGTTGGTATCAGCTGTGCATTTCTATGTTTTTTTTGTAGATTATTCGAGTCTGGGATGGCCGGTCCATGAGCAAGGTTTGCAAGCTACGAGGTCATCAAGACAATATTCGTGCACTTCTTGTCAGCGATGATGGAACACAGGTACGAACAGGTCTGTTGGCAAGCAAGCTACCGTTTGCTGATTTTTCTGAAGCCATGCATGCTTGGATGTTACTCGGGTGTTACTAGGATGTTTAGCCTCGTTTGGACTTGCTGAAGTGTGCTGATCTGTGTCAGCTCCATACACACAGGCATCCTACAGGTACCTTGCCAAGACAAGCGGTAGCTTGCCACCAACTCGTGTTCTTTGCACGTGTTTTTGTGTGTGTTTCTAATCAAGCCGAGTTAGCCACTGCCCGAAGAGTGCTCAGAGCTTTCCACACGGTGTGTGTGTGTTTGCGTGGACCTTACCAAGACAAGCAGTAGCTTGCTGCCAACTCGTGTTCCTTGCACGTGTGTGTGTGTGTTTTGTGTGTTTGAAATCAAGTCGGGTTAGCCAATGCCCGAAGAGCACTCAATGCCCGTACTAGGCAGAGCTTTCCACACAGTGTTTGTTGTGCGTGTATGTTTGCGCGCGTACGTGCTCGGGCATGCTTGCGTTCTTGGTGTCGTACGTGCAGTGCTTGTCCGGCAGCTCTGACGGCACGGTTCGCCTTTGGTCGCTTGGCCAGCAGCGCTGCCTTGCCACCGTGCGTTGTCACGAGAGTGGCGTGTGGACGATGCTAACTCGACCGGACAACTTCCTGCACGTGTACAGCGGTGGCAGAGACGGCAATGTCTTCCTGACCGACTTGAGAACGCCGGACGCTTCCGAGTACATTCTTCACGAGAAGGCACCGATAACGAAGGTACTGAACTACTGTATAATACCGTCCCCCCCCCCCCCCCCCACACACACACACACTCTTTCTCTTGCTGCGTTGCTCCCGGTGCTTACCCGTTCGCTTTGTGTGTGTGTGTGTGTGTCCATGTGTGTGTATATGTGTATGTGTATGCGCGCTTGCGTTCATGTGTGTGTGTGTGTGTGTGTGTGTGTGTGTGTGTGTGCGCGCTTGCGTTCATGTGTGTGTGTGTGTGTGCTTGCGCATGCATACGTGTGTGTGTTTTTGTTTGTTCGTGTATCTGTGAGTGCAAATCCAGTGGATTTGCAGGTTTGCGTGCTTCTTTTGCGACGGCCGTATATATATGGTGTGCGTGCATGCATAATTATTATTATTATCATTTTGCTGAGGTGTAACAGTGTGTGCACGTTCGTGGATGTCTTCCACTCTGCGGTGCATCCTGGTGACTTGCTGTGTGCTTGTGTGTTCGTCTTCTCAGATTGAAATGGATGCTGATCAACGGCTATGGGTGGCTACCAGTGAGTCTTCCGTCAACCTATGGGTGAGTCAACAACACGAATGCCAGAAGCTTGAGAATGAAGATAGCCGGAATGGCTAGGATGAAGGTTCCCCAATGCTTGAATATCTTGCCGAAAATGTCTTGCATGCCTGCATGATTGACCTTCCCTGGGCTTGTTACGTGTTACCGGGGGGGGGAGATGATAAAGGTTCCCCAATTCTTGGAATATCTTGCCGAAAAGGCATGGCTGCACTATTGACCTTCCCTTGTTTGTGACGTGTTGCCGGGGGGGGGGGGGGGGGGGGCAACAACTGCCTGTTTGGGTCACCCATCTAAACAGAAAGCAGCAAACCAAAAATGTGCTTCTCTTGGTGATATTTTGTTTATCTTACAGGACCCGTCATCTAATGCTGACATGACTGAGCCGGTAACGAGCACGACTACAAGCAGCAGTACTAGTAATGGCCTGGCTTCAGGCACTACCAGCAACGGCCTGGCTTCTCCTGGCGAACTGCCTCTGCTCAAGCGCCCGGGATTTTCAATCACAGGTAGGTGACGACTGTTGGGTGCGCATCTGCCTGGGTATGCAGCCACACCAGGCTAGCCGTTTTCCACTCCGTTGAGATCTTGTTACAATCCTTATGCACTGTCAGTCTCCCATCAAGGGATTTGTAGTTTTAGACTACTACAAACAACGCACCCCAGTGTGGTGAGAGTGCTCATATAGCGCGCGGGAGTGGCGGGGTGGCGGAGTGTAGTGCATAAGATAACAGCGGAGCAAGCCTAGTTTGTTGGTGTAACACTGAGCTTCATGCTTCAGTGTAATCACCAGGCAACATTCTAGATGGTGTTGATCCTGGTGGCGGTGTACGTTCAAGAACAGTGGTAGGGTGCTTTGTGCTAGCAATGGGAGTGTTGAGGAGTGAGTGGTCCTGGATGTTGTGCTAAGCTTTGGATCGTATAGTGGCAGGATCAACACCATCCACCATGTTGCGCTGTGATTACATTATGAGCATGGAACTAAGAGTTGTAACGAACTAACCTGGGTCCACTGCTGCGCTGCGTATTTTCAGAGTATGTTTCTAACAGCCCAGAGCTAAGCCTGTCACCGTACGACGTAGGGTCAGTAGTCGACATGAAGTCATCACCTTCTCCTGTTGTTGCGAAAGTAGCAGCGCTTCATGTCGCCCCATTGTGCCAGCAAAGTCCTGGCGCCTCTCTGCTTCTTCTTACCCAGGGGTGATAGAAGTTGCAGGCCTACTCTTAGTGGTTTTCTCCCAATAGTTCCACTTTGACTTACTCTTGCCGTAGCGTTCCAGTCTTCCTTTTGCTCATTCCAAGATGTACTTTCCCTGCTGGGTTGTATGGATATTCGCTGCGAAAACTGCTGCTTCTTCTTCAGGCAGGCTTGGCTCGATTTGTGTTTGGTTTTGGCGAATGCTTATTGTAATTCTGAACAACTGGCCGCACCCTCGTATTCCAACAGGTGTCTCCTTGTTCTTGTCCCTATGTGCTTATTGTCAGTTGGTCTGTTTTCTCAGAGAGCTCGTTACAATTGGGTTTGTGCGCTATGCCTGTTGTGTTTGTATGTGTGTCTGTGTGTGTGTGTGTGTGTGTGTGTGTGTGTGCGTGCAGGTGCTCCGGCTCTACTCAAGACGCAACAGCTGGTCGACCGGCGGCGAGTCCTGACCCAGGACACCGACGGTTCAGTGGACATGTGGGATGTGTTCCAGGTACGTTGTTGTTCAATTGAGATTGGGTCATGCAAGCACTGTGTTACGCCCGAGCACGGCGAGGCTGAGCCGAGAAACAGGCCATCATTTCACCATCAAGGTCCTACTCTATGGCGGCTCTGTTTGGTCTTACTTTCTTCTGTGTTCTTGTACCAGTTCTCTTCCTCACTCTGGTCGTTTTTGTTTTGGATGTGTTGCTTTTCGTTGACAGGGCAAGAAAATAAAATCCCTTGGCAAGGTGAATTATGATGAGGCGGTCGACGCTGAGCAAGGAACGGAGAAGGTTTACGTGCCAAACTGGTGCACGATCAACTGCAGCACTGGTGTAAGTCACCGGGTTTCTGCTCTGCTTCCTCTGCGCCTGTTCTGACTGCCTGCCAACTGTTTGGAGTTGTCTGTATTTGTGGGGTTTCCTGAATGATGAAGTAAAGGATATGGGACGGTGGGGTGTGACCGTGCAAGCTTCGAGATAAGATGGCTTCGCTGGC